ATAATATGTTTCTGTGATGGTTGGGTTAGTATTGGGGTTGAGGTAGATGCTAATAAAATACAATCAATGGGTAATTTAATAATACTTTGTTAAATAATTGCTGTTTTTACATTACTGTGATGGCTGGGTTTAGTGTTGGGGTTGGGGTAAATGTTAATAAAATAAAATTAATGGGTAATTTAATAAATATAAATCATTCTCATTAACTTTCTACTACAGCTGTATCCCTTTTAGCATCTAGTTCAACTGTACGTACATAACATGTTGTGCCTATTAGAATGATTCCAGAAACTCTGACACCTCCGTGTGCCAGAAAGAGAGTGATTCAGACCTTCAAACTTCCTTCCTCTAATTAGCAGCATTTTTTGTTTCTGGCTCTGTTCAGTGTTAACGCACAGATAGTTTCTTTAGCCCCTGCCAGAGCCCGTGTCATCTCTGCTCTTCTTATCTCTGGCACCTATTTGCCTACGATACAAAGGGGTTCACACAGTCAGGGGTCATTTCTGTGACGCAGCATATGAGTAACTACATCCCACAGGTCAAATTTGCAGTGCCAAAGAGTCATATTTTTTTGTGATGACAGAGATTGTAATAAAAATGTTTTACTGTCATGCTAAGGGTTGCCGCCTGAGGCCTATTATAAAAATAACCCAGCTTAATTTAGTAGTTCTGTTTGGGCATACCACTGTGAAAAAGCCGAAAGGTCTTATAAAATAAAAATAAATAAAAATGTACTATTAAATCTTCTTAGACAACTGAAACAACACAGTTGGGCACATGATCTCTGAACTGCAACCAGTATTAAATTAAGTTAACAAATGGTTTCAATTTCTCCATTTCCCCAAGCTCAATGTGAGTGAATCTTTATTGTTTTCAGTGGTTTGATAATATCGGAGACATTCCTCTCAGAGTGTGCTATCTTCCCAGTTCCCTCACTATGGAGCGCAGCTGTCAAAATGTGACCAGTGGGTGTGAATCTAGAATCTAGAAATCCTGTCCTGGAGAAAGTGAGACATTTAACCAGTCTCAAATTTCAGAAATGTTTCTTTTGGTTTTAATCCACCCATTCGCCAGAAAGAAAATCCCCACAATTAGCGGGAGTTTTACTGGTAAACACCAGTGGGAAACTCAGAGGAAAATCAGTTGCATGCGTCCTTCTGCCAGCAGAACTTCATCTTCAGAGGTTAAACAAGCAGATTAAGTGAGGAAGTTAAGTCAGTTCATTCATTTATTCATTGTCCTTCAGCTTACTGTAGTCCCTTATTTATCAGGGGTTGCCAAGGAACATGCAGACTCCACACACCTAAATTTAATTTCAAAACAAGTAATTTGATGTTATTTAAACTTATGTAAATTTATGTATATATACATACATATTAGGGATGTAACGGTATCAGAATTTCACGGTACGATAATACCTCGGTATGAATGGCACGGTACGGTATTTATTGAATAATTTACAGGAAAAACAAAACTAATGAAAAGATTCGAAAAAAGTGCCAAAAGTGTTTCTTTACCTTAGCACTGAACATAACAGTGACATACAAATTAGCCATCTATCTGTAAGTTTTGAAACAGGAACTTCAATTTTTCAATTTTAATAACAAAAAACTATTAAACCATATAAAAAAATAAAGTTTCAATTTAGTATTGTTATCTTAGGTCCTATTTTTTGAAGGTCACATTCAACATTTAATCACTCACTCACTTAGAGATGGGTTTTTTAAGGAAAATTATCATATAAATATAATCTGGTAAAAGCTGGGATCTCTGGGCATTTACAATGTCCCCTGCAACAGAAAAAAACCCTCTCATTGGGACTGAGGTTTCTGGGACAGAGAGATATGATTTAGCCAAGGTTGACAGCAGTGGGTAACGCTGTGCATTGTCTTTCCACCACTTGAGAGGACAAGCCATGAGTGAGACAGAGGTCTCTTTGCGGTACAAGTCAATGTCTGCATCAATCTAACAAGTGTGCTGTGTTCTGCCGTCCCCATGACCGTTTTTAGTCGTATTTCCCGACTTATATTTCACCACAGTCTGGCAGTGCCTGCATATTGTGTTTTTTCTTTGTCTGTCACCTTTTCTCCTTTGTCGTATCTTTTTAGAAAGAAACCAAAATGCTTCCACACATCCGATTTAAAACCCGCTTTAGGTTCGATCATTTCCAGCTCTTTTTTTCCCCGCTACTAGCAACACACTCCATTTTCGCATTACTGGATCTGTAGTGACAACAGACCGCAAATGATGATGGCCACGCCTAGGCTGATTGGAATTGTAGTTCCCGCTACCTCCCGTTCGCTCCCGTTCTCAGAAATATAGTTTTATTGAGTCATGCGCCTACAGTAATATTGAAAAAAATTACTATTGTGGTATGACGGTATTTACAATATTGTTACATCCCTAATATATATATATATATATATATATATATATATATATATATATATATATATATATATATATATATATATATATATATATATATATATATATATAAACATTTTCAATCATTTTTTGACACACAGAAGTCTGTTGGCTTACCTAGTTAACAAAATTACTTATGTCTTTAGACTTGTGGGGGAAAACAGAGGACCCGGAGGAAATCCACGCAAACACGGGGAGAACATGCAAACTCCACAGAGAAGTGCCAACTGACCCAGTGGGGGCTCAAACCAGTGACCTTCTTGCTGTGAGGGCAATTGCGTTACTCCCTGCACCACTGTGCTGCCCCTCTTTGTGTTTTCATATTCATTAAATTATATGATAGATAATTTTCGAGGGGTTCATGTCAAATGGTTTTCTAATTTTAATTATAATAAATGTGTTTATGAATATGAATTTATCTTTTTAAAAGCAGTTGTTTTGAGTTAGAATGCCAAATGTTCTCCTTTTATTCAAATTTTACATTGAAGGGTTCTTACAACATATTACAACATATTTGCCCACCGGAATAGTTGCTGCAAATTTAAATCAAATTTTCCTGAAAAAAAAGGATAAAATAGGACAATATTAGCAAGGCTTCATGCTTGAAACCATTTTTAAAAACTTAGGCACAAAAGGGTTAAGACCCAAACTTGCACTGTCATACCCCTCAAAAGCTGCCTTCATGTCTTAAAACATCACATTCAGCTAATTCAGAGCTCTTCTTTGTTTACTTGTACTCATTTCCTCTCCACTCCAGCTTAGCCTTCAAATTAGCCTTCAAGATACCTGCAAGCAAAACAAAAAAGTCGCTCCTCTCTAATAATGACTAGCGTCTGGCATTTGTGTCTCGCCGGGTGTCCTGTAAACAGACGGCGCCCCTGTGATGATCCACATGTTTGTGGTGGTCTATTAACAGTGCTGGAGATAATAGGAAGCACATTTATACTATAGGTGCAGCGTCCTCAGTGCCGTCACCATATACACAGTTTTCCTGAGAGGAAACGACCGGATCCGGGAGGTTCTGAAGGGTCAGAAACAGGGCTGTCTGTAGGGCGCTGATAATAGGGATGAGACTGTGTGGCGTGGAGGTTCAGACTGAGTGTTGCGGAGCGAACCGCTGACGTACAGCATTAAGAATGTGGGCTTGAGGTCACTGTTTTAAATAGCTTATTTCTTTTGCAATACGACAGACCATTATTCTCATACAACATTTTTGACATTATTTATTTATTAATTTAGTTTTTAAAAATCACTAACCTATTATACTTAAGTATAAACAAGAACCCACAGTGTTGTTTTATCATGTTCTTGTCTCTGTGCTTATACTACATCATATTCTATGCCGTGAAGTGCTTTAAAATGAGCATTTTTATTCAATGTTTGATGTAATCTCAACCGAAACAGAGAGAGGGCAGGACATAATGTAGCCCCCTCCCATTTTTTACAAAACAGCCAATAGCGTCTTGTTTTATTACCACTCTGCCAGTGAGAATGGTTGAGCTCAAGCGCATCAAATGTGAAGCAAATGAAAAGTGTCTTGAAAGGGGCGGGGCATGTCAGAAACAAGAGAGTTATTGATTGGCTATGATTAGATGAGATACTGAAGTACAAACTTTACATGTTTATACAAGTTTATATCTTCTAAATGTGAATTTTGTCACTGTTATGGAGCAAACTAGCTTTTAAATATCTTAAAAACGAATAATACTAACATCTTTGAAACTTTCATTAACTTCATGGGACCTTTAAACTACCCAACAGCACATTGTTGTGCTATATTATTCGATTAATTTTTAATAAAAACAACCAAGCACAAACCCTCAACAGAAAATGCAGTAGCCTCATTAGGTTGAGTTTTAAGGAAGCAGAGGTTAAAGACGCTTTTCCTCTGATTCAGCGTGTCTGTTTCAGCACAACTCCAGGGGAAATGAGCACAAGACACAAGATCAGACTGAAGATCTGCCATTTGTGTGTGTGTGTGCATGTGAAATCTGAATTATTGGTCTCTAAAAGAGATTATTGGGAGATTTAGAGCCATTTAAAATGACAATTATAGGCTTAACTAGGTTAACTTTGCAAGTTAGAGTAATTAAGCGAATCATTGTATAACAGTAGTTTGTTCTGTAGACAATGGAATAAAATATTTATTAAGAGGGCTCATAATATTGAAAATGGTTTTTAAAAATCTAAAAACTGCTTTTATTGTAGCCGAAATAAAACAAACAACACTTTCTCCAGAAAAAAAAAAATAGGAAATACTGTGAAAAAGTCTTTGCTCTTTTATACATCATTTGGGAAATATTTAAAAAAGGAAAAAGGCTAATGATTTTGACTTCAACTTTAAATATTTTGTACCCCTAATATTATAGTAGGGAAATACTGGTATTTTAAAAATGTAAACTGCAGAATGGTTGGGTTTTGTGATAGCGTTGTTGCAGTAGGTGAATAGAATGTTCAGTTTATACAGTATTAAAATCATTACATCTAAAGAAAATCCCTGTAAAACATGAAAACTGAGTGGTTTTGTGTGCATCTGTGTGCGTGTGTGTGTGTGTGTGTGTGTGAGCTCTGAC